TTACCCTACCTAGGAACTAGTGCGCCTGTGGGAAAAATCCCAAAGGCCAAAAAGAGGAAGGGTAAAAGGGAGGGGCGGGGAAGAGGAGGAAGAAAGGAAAAAGGGGAGGATGGGATAGGGAAGGGGGGATTGGGGGGTAATTAGGTTCGGTCTGAGGAAGGAGACCACGCCAAGGAGCCCCCCTTGAAGAGGAGTAAATAATGTTGAGTTTCTTTTTTTTTGGGGGGGGTCACCCCACCTCAATGGGAGACAGTCATTTAAAAATAAAAGCAGGCTAAATTTAATAAATTCTTTAGTGTGTACTATAATAGTTGAAAAATGAATCCTATATGTTGTGGTGAGTTTATAATGACTGAACTGCATAAATCAGAAGATCATGTAGTATGGTATTTGTGCTCAGACTAAGCTGTTTGATGCTTTTACTTGTTACAAAACTCAATATAGTTAAATGGTATTTATGGCCAAGTTCTCAGCACTTGGTGCCATTAGTTCAGCACCATATTGTGTATTAGCTATTTTACATACAAAAAACTCAACCACTTATGGCACTGCTTGATGTATTATAATTTAAAGTTGTAGAGATTCTCACAACTCTAATCTCACCACTAGTAAAGCTCTAACAGCAAGTGCTATTAAATATTTATGGAGGGTCAATTATTATACTCATAGGGAAGGACCAAACCCTTTAAGGGCCATACAGCTCTTCAGGAATGAAAAGGGTAAGTAATAAAGTTTGATTTGAGGAGGAGGGTAGACTCAATGCCTTGGATCAAGTCCCTCAATAGCATCAAGGTGCCCTTTTTAAGGGTCTGAGGTTTGAGGAAATGAAAATAGAGGTAGGTTTCACAATAATTAAGTCATGTCCCTCATCGAGAAATAGCAACCAAAGCAACTGCACCAAACATTGCGTAAGTTATACCAGTAGAAGATGCTTGTGTTATAACTGTGAAGTATCATCACTAACTTTGAGTGCTGGCACTTGCCTCGTAGAAACAATAGCTTTGATAATAGTTCTCGAGAAAATTCTACCTACTGCACTTACCATGTGAACAGAGAACAACACATCAGTATTGTACCCTGAAGCCCAAAAACAGTTTTTCCTCTTCCAATGGTCTAGAAGACCTGTTGGTAGCAAGTCCAATGCAAGCCACTGTTATTGTCCATATCCCAACCGAGGAAGATGCTCTTGTGCTGTGAATGGTAACAGGTCTAATAGAAATCAGAATTTGGGAAAGTCGCTCGTCAGAATAAAAAAAACCAGAGATGACACTAAGTCGCAATGTACTTCGTTCCTGCTTGAAACGCTTTTGATGAATTTTTTGACTGGTTAAAAGATGAAAGAGATAATCATAAAGATGACATGCAGCACCTGGGCCAGATTCATGAGTTCCTTATTTCTGAAGTAGTGAAAAATACCATTTGCATAAACAAATGGAGAACAAGCTTAGAGCTAGGTGAAATCCCAGAAGCCTTTAAAAAAGATAAGGCATATCTCCTTTACAAAGGAGGCAGCAGAGCACTGTCGAAAATGTTACAGACCAGTAGCACTAACATCACACATTATACAAGTCTTTGATAGAGTGATTGGAAACAAAATTACAAACTGGAAACAGCATAACCTGCACAACCCGAACCAACACTGATTTAGAGGGGAAAAGATCATGCTTGTCAACTACTAAACTATTATGACAAAACTAGAAACATTGGAAGAAAACCAAAATACAGACGTGTTCCACGCAGATTTCATGAAAGCATTTAAACAAATGTGATTTTTGGAAAAAAAAAAAAAAAAAAAAAAAAAAGTGAGGTCAGTAGGAATAATGGAAAAAGTAGGCAAATAAATATTCCATTTTATGATGAACAGAACACGATTAGTTGTAAACAAAATAAAAAGCTCAGTACTGTACTAAGGCAAAGTTCTGGGTTATTTACCGTTTTCATTGAAGCAAGCAGAAAAAACACCAGCCACAGCTTCAAAATCATTATTTGCAGATATGAAAATAAGCATGACAATTACCTTGGCAGAAGATGTGGGAAAAAACCCACGAAGTCGATTCCGGAGTCACCGAGGCACAAAAAATTACGCATACTAACATGTTAGATAGTTTGGTCCCATGCACCTGGTAGTCATCAACAACTAAAGGGTTACAGCAGGGCCTCAGCTTACAACGTTCTGACTTATGACTTTGGCACTTGGACACAATTACTGTATTTGCGGCGTATAAGACACATGATTTTTTTCCCATAAAATGAGTCCAAAAATCACGCTGCGTCCTATAAAGTGAAGGTCAGTGACAGAAGCTACAAGTTTGGGGTGTTGGGTGGGCTGTAGCTCTCCCAGTTACGTACGATTCCGAGCCATTGAAACTAAAACAAGTCTTTTAAGCCGCAAAATACAGTAATTACACATACTTATGAAAAAGTGAGTCACATTTCTGATGGCAGGACCATCATATTTACCAGTTTCCTTAAGAATGAATCAGATTTATTCTTAATTAGTTTCTTATTAGTATTCATACTTTGTGTATATTAATTTCATTCTTTTTAGAGCTCACATTTACTTGGTAGAGATTAGTCATGAACCACAGATTTAAACATATGTATTTTTATTAAGGATGAATTTTATAATTATTAGTAATTTTTTCTGTTAGTTTTTTACTAAATGCATTCATACTCTGAACAGAGTATGCTCATTCTATAAATGCACAGAGCACTCACATCTGTTTAGTACACTGGTTAAAATATAAATATTTAACAATTACGCTAGACATTGCAGTGGGTGTGATGTAGGGACAGCAGGAGCTGTTGCCTACACATCTGTCACTCCACACCATATTCAACCACAGCAATGAGGAAGGAAAGAGCACTTATTTGGATTATTATTACTCAGGAACACACAATTCCAATACGAGGCATTCTACAGGAAAATACGTTGAGAGTATCGAACATGTGACTCGTGATGATTTTTATGGAATGCATTAACATTGTAAGTTGGAACACTGCTGTATTTGTTAATACTATAAATCTATCTTGTAATACAACACAACAAAACAAAATAAATCTATCACTAACAAAAAGATACTAACTATAACTCATTACTTCTTTAAGTTGATAGGGAATAAAAATGGATGTGTCATTATCAAGTGATTTGTAATGAACATGCTGTTGGAATGTAAGCAAGGTAACATTTACTGAGGGATTCAAGGAAATCAGTTAGCCAGATCTGTATCATGGAAGTGGTAAGGGAGAAGAGCAGATGAAGGGTAATCCGAAGTGTGATGTCAGCACACTTCTGGCAAGACAGTGATTGAATGAATGATGGGAAATTGGTTTTCTTTCTTGGGCCACCCTGCCATGGTAGGAGACAGCCAATGTAGATAAAAAAAAAAAAAAAAAAAAAAAAAAAAGCCAAACCCACATGGATCATACAGCAATAATTAAGCGACATATTTATTACATTAGCCAGGATGACATGGCAAGATACAGTTACAGATAACTACTGCCAATGCAGGCTTGTTGCCCAGGCTTTCATAGTAGTTTTCCAGATATTTTACCCAGTAACGATATATATCACGAGTTATTGCATATCTTATCAATACTGCATAAGACTACATGGTTTTATGTCTAATATGGCTGACAACTGTAAATCAATTGATTAAAGTCACTTGACTGCAAAACTTCAATAGGTAATACCATAGAGCGCATTTAGACATTTGATTACTACTGTACGTCGAAAATAGCAATATAAAAGATCCTTTACAGAAAAAAAAGAAAAAGAAAAAAAAAAAAAAAAAAAAAAAAAAAAAAAAAAAAAAAAAAAAAAAAAGAACTAGATTGGTTCAGGCTAATATAAACATTAGGTTTCCAGAATGTTCATTATATCAGTAAGAAAATAAAGTATGTGGGTCATCTAGTTACTTCTCAGGATTGTATTGATGTTGGTAGAATTACCAACAGAAGTGCAACTAATGTAACATTTTATTGTGGCAACGTTTCGCACTCCAGGAGCTTTGACAAGCCGTTTCAGCTTGACAAAGCTCCTGGACAGTAAAATGTTGCCACAATAAAATGTCACATTCGTTGCACCTGTGTCCTTTTACCTAACACTTCTCAGTATACTGTATAATCAGTATTTAAACTGTAGTTCTTGCTAGCCAAAATTTTTCTAGGCCTTATATAAAACTCCTTTGTAGATTTATCTGGAATTTAAATAGCCTTCACAGCTTATTATTCCTCAATTTGTGTTGCTCTGATTGAACTGTTAAAAAAAAAAAAAAAAAAAAAAAAAAAAAAGGGATGCACAGGATACCCTTCGACTGGGAATTTAGTCTACAACATACATTTAAAAAATTTCTGAGTGAAGTATCTTCTGTTCCTCACTGGTGTAGGTGCAAACCTGTAACCAGTTACGAGTTACTCAACTCAAAAACAACAGCTTTCATTGCTGACTGCCTGATCAACCAGGATGTTGCTGCCAGCAGTATGTAAGCCTATTTAGCCATTACATCCTGGCTGAACTAGCACACTTTGCAGTTACTGGTCCAGCAACCTCTTGAAAACAGAGAAGCACTCACCACAGTACAATGCAATATAGGATGTCCACAGTCCTTTTCTAATTATATAAAAAAAATATGTGACAATGCAGTTTCATGGCTCTATCTAAACTGTGAAATCTCAGTATATGCATTTCTAGTTATCTATAACACATCTAATCAATACTCTGGTTCATTACATGTACTGGCCAACAAATCACCATGACTTTCCTGGTGCCATCATTTATTCTAAAGTCAGCTACTTGTATCTGGAAAATAACAATTCACAAACCTCCCCAATATCAAAGCACAGAACCAAAAATGTTTGGTATAACCTTGATAATGGATACTGACAATCAGTTGAGAGAGAGATGTGAGAAACACTGGGACATATTTATTTGAAGAAGCTTCAGTGTTTACTCACATCTCTCTCTCAACTAAAAATGTTTCATCACTAAACCAACATACCTGAGTTTGACCCATTTTCTGAAGCAGGGTTAGATGCTACTTTTACTTCCGCCTGTCGTTCCATTTCTACTCTTTTCAGGCCTCGCTCAATATAATTCTGGAAGAACTGTGATGATTTTCTCAAGAATGGTTCAATGTCTGCTTCTGGATGTTTTTGCTTGAATTCATATAGTTGGATCAAACCCTGAGATAGAAATATCTATTCAGAATAACTGGTTTGATATAAAAATTGTTCAGAAGTCAAGTTAATAAAAAAAAAAAAGAAGAAGATTAACAGTAAAGTAATTTGGTGAAGAAGTGTGTCACCAGAAATCTGTGTAAGGATAAGTGCACTGGGGAAAGGGAGGAGATGGAAAACAGACAAGAAAAGTGATTAAGATGAACAGCAAGAAGAGAAAAAATGGAATTAAGAGTTCTAAGAAGGGGAATGAACTGCTACCAATTAAAAGTGCCAGGTAAGCAAGGTTGTGATTGCTATCTAGGATTATAGGCTCCTAAGAGCACCAGCCTGACTGACCAGGCAATCAAAACAGCCTGTTCTCAGGTTTTACTATAAGGACAGAAACCAGTCACAGGTATAGGAAATATGGCAGAAATATGGAGGAAAAATGCAAGAATATGGGGAGGAGAAGTGGCATATGGAAGAGAAAGGGAGGAATATGGGAAAAAGAAGAAAGGAAAACAACTAAGGTATATAAATTGTGGAAAAATACTTCACTCTTTTCATATACAATCCACCATCTTGTTAGTTTTTCTTTGTTCTTAGTCAGAAAAATTTGTTTGCTCTACTAATTGCAAATGAAATTTTTAACCTCTAAACACAACCATATTTTTTGCAATTAGCAATACAGTTTTTTCCACCTATATTAAGAGTAGTCTATTCTTATTTGGCATTCTGTGGCTGCTTACCTCTTCAATTTAATTCAGCAGCAACACATTCAAGATGTGGATGACAAAACTACAAAAATGGATAAATCAGAGAAATATCCTTTTCAGTAATAAACAAAATATCTGTAATACATTTTTCATTAAAAATCACCCATTAGTAGAGAAAAAACAATTGGCACACTAACTGAAGTTGTGAAGAGGCCACCTGAGGTAAGGATTGTTTGCTGTGACCTAATTATTGCATAACTGCCTCTCACAATAACAAGACCCAACAAGAATTGCTTGTTAGGTCCCAGAGGTTAAATTAAAAGGCGACATAAATACCCGAGTATAATGCATTTAAAATTGGTAGACAATATAGTAAAGTATTTATCATGTACAACACATACGTTGTCAAACTCACTTGTGGGTGAAACACTCTACCAATAAAACTTCAATGCATTACATGTTAATTTACCACTTATTGCTATTAAATGACTCACTTACTTCTTTAGTGTTTTCCTTTGAGCCAATCTTGCGGAAGATCTCTGATAGTGTGTTGTGAGCTGTTTTACTTAGTCTCTTAGGAGATTTACCACTCTCCACAGAATCATTAGTAACTTGTGCTGCAGCTAATCTGTTGCTATCACCAATGCCACCATCATCTTCAGTCTTTGACTTCTGTGGGTATGATATATTATGAGCTTTGAAGAGAAAATGGCATTATACAACACTCTTCTATATACAGTACCATACCATTAAAGTTTTTTATACCGTATAAATTTAAACCAAAACAACACAATGAAATAAAAGTATTCCTCGGCACATCAATATTTCTTATTGGTCTGAAATTTTATGCAATAACTTGGCAAAAATTGTATTACTCTATGTAGAAAAAGGAAACTACAATATAAAAGTGCTATAAATATGAATAATAATTTTTATTTTTTTAATTAAACAAGTTGGCCGTCTCCCATATACTGGTTGCCAACAAATGTGGCACAGGTATGTCAGAAGATTAAATCTTAGTCCTGTCAGCTCCATCAAGGAGGTCATCTTAATACACAAAAACCCGCACATAGAAGAGAGGAGCTTACAACGACGTTTCAGTCCGACTTGGACCATTTACAAAGTCCCACTGTTATTTGTGTATCGTTCCAGTCATGGTATTGTGCCTTTTTTTGTTATTTTAGGTCATCTTAAGTATTTTCAACTTCCTATATTGCTGTTAGATTTCTGACATTTCACCATTGTATAGTTCTACCTCCTATGTATCTGTTCATGGATTTAGGGACCATTTACCCAAAACCTTCTCAGACCAGGTCTAAAATTAAAAAGAAAACATAAAAAATATGAAATATTAAGCAACAAAAGAAAGTAATGTATATACTGAATGTAAATTTCTTGAAGCTACTTGCCATTTTTACATAGAAAAAAAAAAAAGTAATGCTGCCAGTTAAAAATTTTCAACAGAATTCCAATTCACACTCGTATAACCACACAGCAGTACCTCCCTGGATGGTTGCTATCTACCAACCAACTTCCCAACTTAATAAATTTGTTTATTTACATTTGAGTGATAGTTTTCATGAATATTTTTACTCATGATCTTCCACTTTCATAACAGAGCTATCACCATAACCACTGAACATTTAGGCATGAAATATTCACATAACTTGTACAGCACAATCTCTAATAATCACAGTGTTTTACAGTGGCTATAGAAAACTATAAATGCTTTGCACAGCCAGAGAAGGAATGAGGGCCTGGGTTCGATTCCCAGCCAGAGTAGAAACATTGGACGTGTTTCTTTCCACCTGTTGTCTATGTTCCCCATCAGTAAAATGGGTACCTGGGTGTTAGTCGACTGGTGTGGGTCGCATCCTGGGACACTGACCTAAGGAGGCCTGGTCACAGACCGGGCCGCGGGGGCGTTGACCCCCGGAACTCTCTCCAGGTAACTCCAGGTAAACTCTATAAGTAAAAATTGGTTGTCAAAACACCCGCCATTCCCATCGAAGTGACCCAAAGGAGGAAACATGTTCACTGGTATTCTAGCCGTCTTTCCAGAAATTCACACATGACAATTCAACTGACCCACACCCACTCAACAGGTCTCCCATACTTCAACAATATGCCATATCACAAACATTATTTCTCCCTACTCACTCTGATCTAAGGCTTGCAGATGCCTGCTGAATGCTAAAGTCTCTTATCACTCAGAACCACTTTCACATCATTCTTCCAACCCTTCCTGAGATGTTCCCAATACCTCTTCCTTCCACTCCTAATCTGTAAAATCTCCTCTTAGTTACCTTATCTTGCTCCATCCTTTCTAACGGACCAAATGTACACTTTCATTTCATCACGTCATCTTCAATTTTTTTCATTCTTTCATTCCTTGCGCAATTTTTACATCAAACTGATCTTAAAAACATCTCCAATCTTCCTCAATTGGGGGGGGGGGGTTCCTCACATTCTCTTATACAGGGGATCATAAACTGAGGTATGCATACCCTAAGCCTAAGGGATTTTCAAGGGTACATGAAGGAGTTATCATAATTTTTTTTATGATGCTACTACTATCAGTTATTTTCTTTTTACTTTCCTGAAGACCCAGCAATTACAGAAAGATCTTTGGAGGTACTATCAAACAACTAAGTAAAGTGGTGGAGTGTTTTGTATTTGACCTGCATGAATCAGCCACTGCCAACTATCTCTGTCATTGGTGTGTAGTCAGCAAACACTAGTGCGATTTTTTTTTTTTTTTTTTAACAAGTCAGCCGTCTCCCACCGAGGCAGGGTGACCCAAATTATTATTATTATTATAATCAAAAAGAAGCGCTAAGCCACAAGGGCTATACAGCGCTGCAGGGTAGGGAAGGAAGCAAGGGAATTGGATGGCAGAAGGGAGGGGGGATGATCAGCAGGTTACAGAAAACAGCGGGGCAGGGGATAGTACGGGGGTAGAGGGTAGCAAGAGATACAAGTAGAAAGGGCTGAAAGTATCAGAATTTGTGAAGTAAGTCAGTCGTTGTCAAAAAGTCAATGAGAGAGTCCGGATGAAAGGTGGTCCATCAGCGAGAAGGGAAGGTAAAGAGAGAGCAGCGGGGCGAAGACGACGACAGGGGGAAATTCTGCGTGCTCGTTGATAAAGTGGGCCCGTCCAACAGAATGTGCTGACTGATAATGGAGCTTGGCCAATTTCACAGAGAGGAGCAAGACGCCTCTCCTGAGATATCCATGAGTAAGACGAGTATGGCCAATGCGAAAAACGGGGAGAGTAGTCTCCCAACCTCGGGCACTGGTGATAAGAAGAGGCCAGTAACCTATACTCGGTTTAATAGACTGAAGTTTGTTTGCCGAGCATATAGACCAACGTTGTTGCCAACGGGTTTTGAAGGTGGGGAAAATATTACAGCAAAATAGTCCGTACATGGAATACCTCTATAAGAAAACTGGTAGGTCATGTACTGCTGACCGCGCAGCAGTGTCTGCCTGTTCATTGCCCTGTACGTTTAACATACCAGGACCCAACAAAAAACAATATCTTTATGCTTAGTAAAGATGCGGCGTAGCCAAAGTTGGATAAAGGAGGACTAAGGGGTGAGGGGTTTTCAAATTTTTGTATAGCCTGTAAAGCACTAAGGGAGTCTGAGGGCAACCACAAAAGATGACACAGCATAGTGCAATACGATAAGTGCTGTAAGGATGGCATTTTAATTCAGCAGTAAAAAAACTAGCTGAAGATAGTAAATGCCCCTTTTACGACGCTGTCCCCGGAAACACTGCTGCGAATCCTACGCCGTCAGAAGACTTAGAGCCATCTGTGTACACAGCAATGGCATGAGAATGAGAGTGAAAGTGGTCAAGAAAAAGAGAGCGGGAAGCGACCGTAGACAGTTGGGCTTTCGAGCAAGGGAGGGAGAAAGAACAGACTCGAACAGCTGGAACTTCCCAGGGGGGTAGGGAAAAGTGAGTTGCTACATGTACATAGAAAGGTGGTAGTTGAAGAGAAGACAAGAGCGAATGAAGGCGAAGAGAGAAGGGACGGAGTAAGCAGGGGCGGCGAACAAATAAAGAATGTCTACTAATATCAGTGACCATTCTATAAATGGAAGGATTGCGGAGATCATGAGAGCGTACATAGTAGCGCAGGCAGGGGTGACCCAAAAAGAAAGAAAATCCCCAAAAACAAAATACTTTCATCATCATTCAACACTTTCACCTCACTCACATATAATCAGTTTTTGCAGAGGTGCTCAGAACACAAGAGTTAGGAAGCATATACGTATAAAGATACATGACATATCCCTCCAAACTGCTAATATCCTAAACCCCTCCTTTAGAGTGCAGGCAATGTACTTCCCATTTCCAGGACTCGTCCGGCTATGTAAAAATAACCAGGTTTCCCTGATTTTTTTTTTTTTTCAACAATCCCTTCATTAAATATTATCCTGCTCACACTCCAACAGATCGTCAGGTCCCAAATACCATTCGTCTCCATTCACTCCTATCAAACATGCTCATGCACGCCTGCTGGAAGTCCAAGCCCCTCGCCCACAAAACCTCCCTTACCCCTTCCTTCCAACATCAAATATATACAATCACTTTAAATAATGCACTTATTTGGTAAATATTCACATTCATTTAAGCAAGAAAAGTGTGAAAAATCTAGTGTTCACATTTTGAATATAATCCTGTGTTTGGTTTTCAATTTTGAGGTCATGCACAAAGTGAAAATGGCAATCTTAAAAATATTAACATTTCTTGACTGATGTGCACTAAAATTATATGAGCATACAACACATGCATTGAAAAAAACATACAAAATTTAAGGCATTTAATGAGCAAAACTAGTTATATTTCATAAAATCTCTAATAGCTCATATCTAAATCTTCATGTGGGTGAATACATCTCGGATGGAAGGTAAAAGAGGGTATGGGTCATCTCAGAAATGGTTGGAAGAGGGGGATAGAATAGAACCGAGTTTTGACAACTTATTTATGGTAGTCATGCTGTTGGGCTGTGAGCAAGGTAACACTTATGAAGGGATTCCGAAAAACTGGTTAAGTGGATGTAAGTCCTGGAGGCAGTGCCTGCACTCGGAGGAGGGATGGAATGTAGTAGTTCAAAGGGTTATTTAAATTGTAATGTCAGCACACTTCTGGTTAGACAGCAATTGAATAAACGATGGTGAATGAATTTCCTTTTTTTCTTTTTAGTCATTCTACCTTAGAGGGGGGAAGTTTAAAAATTAAACAAAACAGTTTCAAGGGGGTGAGAAATTTATCAAGACCATTTCAGAAAATTCCTATACAGGTCCGCCATCACAAATCCGGCAATCAGTTATTCGGCACTAATTTTGGCTAGCATAATTTCAAATTTCCAGGGTCGCCACACCAACCTGCTGGTACTCTGGTGGCGCTATTTGCTGCATAAGTCATTCCAATTTCCTTTTCTCCATTTATTGTTTTAACCTGCTTACTTTTAGCCCTAGCCATGGTTCCAATGAATAAATGAAATGCTTCTCATTATGTAAAACACCTACACAGTACATTATCCATTAAAGATAAGGTGGCTTTGAAGCCACTGTCGATTGCCATGAGCTCAGTCTTGCGAAGCAGGAGAATATGCTTTATTACGCTAATATCAACACTACAGCTTATTTGCCTATTAC